CCCTCCCGGTTCTGGGCCCGGGGAGTTGCTGCGTGGGAAGCGCCTCAGCAGTGTGGCTCGGCGCAGGGCAGGGCAGGCAGTAGCCATTTTGATAAAACGCCCATTCCTGAAGCTGGGGTGAAGCTGTGGCGTCGTTCGCAGCTGTCTGCAGCGCTGCTGCGTCGACTGTGGGCGCTGTCGGGCAAACGCGTGCCTTCGCCTGAACGAAAAACCCCGCGGGTGACAGGGAGCTGCTAATTCTGATCAAAACCTGAGGCGCGTTTCTGTCACTGCGCCTCGTGCCACAGCAGGGAGAATCTGCTCCGTGGCATCTACTGGGGAAAACACGAGAAATGTTTCGCACCTGCCTTAAAACCATCTCTCGTTTTGCTGGTAGGTGGACCAGCTGATGAGGAAGTGCTGGATATTCAAGCACGACGAACGGACAACCTTCCGCAATCTGATTCAAGGATTTGAAACAATTATGAGTAAAATGTAATTAACTTTTTTTATACTGGCAGTACTGTAAACGTGTGTCAAAATATAAATGCCCAAGACCTTTCATTTTTTTTTTTTAACTACTGTAATTTGTACTCTGACTGTGCTGATGTGCTTAAAGGAGTCTTTTTCCAACAGTTTTCCTTTTTAATTTTAGTCGACAGTTGGATCAAATTAATTACAAGGTATGGCAGAAACAATAGCTTCACCTCCTCTTGCCGCTGGTGCTGCAAGGCAGCGCTCCCCGTACCCGAGCGCGGTCTCGCCCCGCTCTGAGCCAGCCCGACGAGCGCAAACTGAACGAGCGCTGCCAGAAAGCGCTGCCGTTCGCATTTACGCCAAGCCCGCTGCCCACGCTCCTCCAATAACTGAACCCGTGGACAGAAAAGGACTTGAAACAGTAATTATATCATTTTTATGGGGTTTTTGAGGAGGTTTGGAAAAATGTTTGGCTGACAGATGTGCTTTGTGTGCATTTAAATTGTAGGAAGAATAAACCAGCTCTGGCATAAAGATCCAGAGGAGACAAAATAATCCGCTCGTCTTAGCCAGTCTGCAGTTCCGAGCTCTTATGTTTAGTTAAAACTATACTTTTATGTATAGTTAAAAAAAAAAAATGGCCTGTCGTGTTCAGAACAAAGAAAGAGAAGCGTGGAGCACCGAGAAAGCCACGGATAAATGGATTTCTGGATGAACAGCTTTGCTTTTCCTACCCCCGCCCCCCCTGCCCGCGCGCCCCGTTCCCGCCCGCTGCAGCTCCCACCGGTGACGCAGCTATCGCACGCGCGAGCGCGGCGCTTTGCAGCGTGTTTCGCAAGCCACCCGCTCACGGTGTTGGTCAGCGGCTCCCCGGGCCGGCGCGTTAATTCACGTTAGCAGTTTGTCTGTGAAGCTGCTCGTTGGGCCCAAGGTGACGATTCTTGAGCAATGTCGGCCTCCACGTAGCGCAACTGACGGACGCAAGCCACGCGCCTGTGCGGGATGCGGTCAACCGAAGGGGAAGCCAGACTGGGACCATGTCCGCCTTGCTGTCGGGAGCCGATCCGGGCTCCGAAGCGTCAGCGGGGCGGCTGTCCCCCGCAGGCTGCGCTGAGCTGGGTGCCGGTCGCTGACCCCTGCCCTAGGGCTTGGGCCAGGATCTGGTCCCACCGCAGCTGGATTTCTGAAAATGCTTTGAGGAGATCCTCAGTTCTGGCAATAACAGAAAGAAATCTTTAAATATATAGCTATATATATATATAATTGTAATTATGAGCCACAATGAGGTTAGATTTATTTTTACAGTATTACCTGTTTTTTTCTGTATGTTACTTATGAACCTGATTTAAATCTGTAAGCACTTTGTTACTCTTTATACAAACAAATCTAATAAAGATTTTTTTTTTTTTTCTCCACGTGCATATCTTTTTTTAACCATAAATTTAACAGAGAAAGATTTTTAAACTGAGACTTCCCAGAGGAACGGTGATCCGCTCGCGGCGTCTTCAAAGCCACCTTTCCCTGCACGACGCCCTGACTTCCCAGGCAGGCCAGAGATGTTTTCCTCCCACACAAACCCACTTGAAAAGGCGCACCAACAATTTCTTTTCATTGAAAAGTGTAAGAAGTTGAGCAAGTTGCAGATACAAACAGTCTGAAACAAAATCTTACAAGTGAGTTTATCAAACGCGTACACGCAGCGGCCCAGAAATGCTCCCGGGGTCTGCGCTGCTGTTCGGGTGCCGTAAGCAGGCGCTGCCTGGCTGCAGGAGGAGGGACCAGGATTGGGGTTGCTTGGGGGGGGTTTCGGAGGTGTTATTTTTTAAGCTTTGAGAATATGAATCCTCGTCATATCACAAAGCTTGAAAGGCAGAGTTTAAGACCTTTTTTTTTAAAAAAAAATGGCTTCAGTATTATCCAGAAAGATAAAGACAGAGGGCCGGGGGCTCCGGCCTCGGTGCTGAGCGACGGCAGTCCAGCTGCCCCTGGAACAGGCGCCCAAGGCAGCCAAGCCCCGCTGCCCGTCGCAGAAGGTGGCCTTCTAACGGGCACCCACTGCTGAGGGAAGGATTTCTAAGTCTGCAGCTACAAGGATGAACAGCAGAAAAGAAAGCCTCGAGCCAGGCTGCTGAACAAAGCAGCTGAAAACACAAAGTCTCTACAGAGAAGAAAACAGGAATACAATGAAGCTGGGAAGCGGTGTCTGTGTTTTCCCACAGCACGTGGGCTGCCGCTGGCCACAGCCTATGGGTGTGAGCCCCTGCCCTACACCTGGGCTACGTGAGCGAGTAAATAGTGAGCTTCTCCTGCTAATGAGAACCAATTCATGCAGAAGGTCCTGTGGAAGGAGGGGTGAGGACTGGAGCCAGGGTGCTCTGCTCCAGCAGGCTCTGGAGTGCAGCAAAGCTTGAAAGTTATGGTGCTCAGAAGAAAAAGAACAATATGGCGAAGAGCAGGACTAACGCCATCACCCCACGAGCGTGGCCATACGGCTTCTGCTCTGACTGAATTGTCCAGGCTTGGAGAAGGCAGAAGAAGGGCAACAGGCCGCTGCTGTCCTCCGCTCGGTTACCTGTACCAGTGCTCCGTCACTGGAAGCACTGCCCGCAGCCCTGCCGTGAGGAGGACGCCGCTTCGCCATGCACCCCCTTCTACACAGCTGCATTCACAAACCATAAATTACTTACTCCAAGGAAAAGCTGTGGATTCTTGGCCTAAAAGCAGATAAAGGTTACTTCGTTGTCCATGTCTCGCCTCGCCAAATCGAATTTGACATTGCAAGGCAGCACACAGCACGGCAGCATCTCGCTTGTAACAAACATTTATTGAAAAACATCAGAGAGGCTCTGGCAATACATTTGGTATATCTCCATTCCAGGATTAAGAGGAAATACTAAAAATATAAAGGCTGTAAATGCAGAACTCTTAATCCTGGAAAAAGTAAGCTTGAAAAAAAAAAACCACCCCCACATTCTGAGGTAAAAAAATAAGAAACAATTCCTATCAAGATTTCAGCTTCCTCGGTCTGAGGACTCGAGAAAGGCTCAGCACTCCCTCCTCGGGGTTTTTTATTGCTTCAGCTGGTCAGAACTCACCGAGTTACTCTGCTTTGTCCGTGGCAGCCGACAAAGGGAACACCATCCCCTCCTTCCGGAAGGCAAGGCAGACTGCTGAAAAATGGCTAACCTCGCAGCAATGAGTACCGGTTCCTCGGCCAGCCTGCCCGTTGCAGAGGCTGCTCCTCCTGGGGTATTTATAACCCACACGGAAAGAATTATTTGTCTGAAGTTAAGGCAGCAATAAATAGCGGAGGTACGAAAAGCCTGCCTTCGCACCCTGAGGCAGGAGCGGCGATTTAGGTCTCAATAAACGCGCTTTTTTTTCAGCGAGGATTCTGCGTAACGCACGGCGGAGCCCTGAGTCTGCTGGCCAACGTACTCCACGGGGCCGGGCTCCGGGGAGGGAACGAGGTACGACGAGCCTCGCTTCTCGCTTCTCGCTGGAGCCGCCTAAGGACGAGAAGAAAACAAGCGACACATGATCCAGTGCAAACGGCATCAATAAATAAAGCCTGGGAATTACCAAGGAGCAGGAGCCAGTAACCGACTCCAGAGGCCCGCCGCCTTCAGCTCCCAGGTCTGGCTATACACAGCTCATGAGTCAGCATTTGTGCCCTTTCCCTAAAAAATATGACTGTAAAAGCATTGGTGCCCATCGTCGGTGCGTTTTTGTGAGGGCAAAGGGCTGGCTGGGCCGGGCGGCCCCGCTGCACCGTGCACGCTTTTAAAAAGCAGCAGCATCATGGCCATGCTGTTACCCCGCGGCGTCACGGCAGCTCCAGCCATCTTCACCATTTGAAGCAAGGCAGCAGCGGGTCGCCTTCTGTGCCACACGTCAGATGTTGAAGGACTTGGTTTCCAGCCATGCCGAAGCGGGTTCGTGTTGCGGAATACAGCAGGCGTGAGTTTACATGTGGTACCGAAGCAAAGGAGAGAGCAGTAACCACTCTTTTAATTGAAACTTCAGTTTGACTACCATGCCTCACTCTGATACACCGAAAGTCCCACAGTTCCCCGAGCAGAGTTCCTGGTGAGGGCACCCGAGGCTGCTCCAGCACCAAGGGCCCCTCAGGGTACGCCAGGCTCAGCGGCGGCTCCTCTCGGGGATCCATCAGGGCAGGACGTTGCAATATCCACAGCCCTACGGACTGAGAAGCCCACCGCCCTCACCAGCGAGTCTCCACCACGCTCGCTCGCCCCCCACCTACCACTGATTCCCACTACCAGATGGCGTGAGGAGCCACCTCATTCTAAGGGACTGAAGATCTCCCCTGTAACAACCACCCGGAGCGGGTCTCGCCACGTCCTGCTCAACCACACCGCGTCTCCTGGGTTAAGTCTGGCTCCTAGATCAGAAGATTTGAGGTTTGGGTTCCTGTTGGAGTGAATATTTTAGAAACCTTAACAAGCTGGGACACTAATTCCTCGCCTCAGAAGAACAGCTGTGCTGACCAGACATCCCTGAGCCCAGCACTTCCCAGCAGCTCTCAGAAGCACCCCTTGCTAATTCACAATGCAGATTACTCTCTGCTAAGTCTAATTTAATTTTAGCGTGCACTTAGCAGCATCACAAATAGGAATTTGCTTGAGGAAAGCCTTTCAGCTGCCCACCTCCTCTCTCCGGCGTTTCTAACAGCCGTTGGGATGCCACACGTGTCTGGCAACCCCCTGCCATGTCCTGGCTCGTGCGGCAGAGCACAGCATCGCGCCTGCGAGCTCCGTACGAACCTCCGCACCGCAGCTCACGGCGGGAGAAAAACAGGGTGCAGGGTTACAGCGAGCGCACACACACGGGCACGCACTCTCAACCGAGAGCGAGCCTCCTGGGGACACGCCTGTGTGCCCTCTGCACAGAGATTTATCTTCTGATTCCAGGAACGAGAAAAGCACCTCGCCGCAGAGGCAAACGACTTCTCGTTAGCCTACGCCAAGGGACCGACCGCTCTCCTTCTGCCTTTTATGGCCGCTGGCATTCAGACAAACTCTCAAGCAAGCTGCCCGACATCACCTCCGCAAACAAGCTTTCCTCTTTAGACTGGAAATAAACTGGAAGGTATTCATTAGCTCAAACTCCACTCCATCTCCTTCTCTCGTCACAAATTCACTTGTTTTCAGTCCTGTTGGAACTGTTAGGAGCCCAAAAGCGCTTTCGCTGCACAGAGCTGGAGATCTCACAGCCCACGGCAACGTGTTCAGGCCTTGGCCATCTTCACCCCAAGACACAGCAAAGCCAGCTCCAGCCAGGCCTTGTCTCCTGTCCAGGAGTCGGGAATTGCTACAGCTGTGTGTTCCTTCTCAATCTCCTCTAAAAAACGGGCACCTCATGCCACAGCCGAGATGTGACTTTCTGAACGGCGGAACATCGTGTGCGGAACCCAGCTCTGAACCTCCACGCAGCGAAGGGGTTCAACGCGGCCGTGGAGGGGACCGCAGGCTTCCCTGCAGCCGCTCCAGCGCAGAGGACAATCTGGCTTTTAAGATCTCTCCCATCAGTAAAAACAGGAGAAACGTGATTTACCTACGGCACGAGAGTCTGAATTCCTCAGGACACCTAAGGCACTTGGGAAACGAGAAGAGCTACGTTCAGACTGGACAAACCCTCCATCCCCACGGTCTCGGCCTGGGTTAAACTGGCCTCGTGCGAGTCCAGACTCCAGCCTCCTGTCAGCTGGTCCTCATGGCTTCTGTCGCCTTCCCTATCCCTCCTGCATCCTTTACTGACGAAACGAAGTGTCTGCTGGGTCCGTCAGGCAAAGGAAGCTTTGCTCCATGAGGCTGGCTGAAGCAGGCTGCATCTGCCATCTGTTAGATATCTCACATTAAAGCCGTTTTAAAAGGTTTTTCCTCCCACAATCCAGGCAACAGTACTACGAAGTGGCACCTGCAGGTGACCCAGACGCTGCCATGACTTGCTAACTCCGCTTCGGAGGTTTTAGCGCAGCGGCACTCGCTGCGAAACATCTGAAAGTCAGGCAAAAAACCCCACCTACACCCAGCACGAACTGCCTCCTCCTCCTCTGTTCACTTCCCACTTCATCTGCCTACGGCAGGGCATTTGTGTGCCTTCACCCTCACAGGTACCATCTTTCCAAGAAGTTTGTTCACAAACAGCCGGCCTTTCTCTGCCCGTGAGTTTTGGAGGTGCGTGGGCAGTGAGGAGCGCTCATCTCCAGGGTGCTGCAGGGCTCGGAGGGGTCTGGCACCGGCACACCCTGCCTGACCACTGCTTTTATGCATCCCATCCACCGCGCGTGACCCTGAGCAGCTCGCAGGCCCGAGGAGCACGGGTGCAGTGGAAAAGCTCTGCCTCAGCTTGCTGTGGGTCCAAAGTCCACTCGGTGGCAGCATGGGACAAGTGAGAAGCGCTTCCCCCAGCATCTGCAACCACTCTGCTCCGTCTCACCTTCTTCACTGGGTTTTGCGGAGGAAGGTGCAAGCTGCCTGGCTGGCAGGATCCCTGGGCTCCACTGTAAAGGGTAGGCACGACCTGCAAGCAGGTCCTGTAGTCTGGGTAAGATCCACCTGCAGATTCCTAAATGCAGAACGGGATCCACGATCAACCAGAAGTTGAAAGAAAGCAGGTTTAATAATTCGTTTTTACTTGATATAGTAACGAGCGCTCAGCGGATGTGAAAATAACTGAGTCACACTCAATGGCTAAAAGGAGTGTACAATCCACGGCAGCTCAGGCATGCAGCAGTTTCTTGAGCAAAGTGTAGGATTTGCGTGATGGTTTACACAATTCCTTAAAAAAAAGTGCTTCTCGCCGGTCACAGAAACCTCGGGCTATCTGATGGCCTGGGGCAAGAGACAATCCTTCAGCAGACTCACGGGGAAATAACGTTGCAGTGTGCTGTGTCTTGGCAGGAGTGTTTTAATACACTCCTGAACTTGACAGGTAACTTGGGATTGTGGGGTTTCAGAGAGAGGAGTGTTTATGCCAGGCACAATCCAAAGCGTGCGTACGAACCCGGGAGTGTAACCGTGCAGGGAAGCCCTGCAGAAGGTGACCATGCAGTGCCACTCGTCCCATGCTCTCCAGCCCCTCATTCCTGCGGTACCGACGGCAGCAGCCACTACCAGCACGCAAAGCCGGTGTCCGGAGTCCAAAAGCAGCCTTACAGCTGATGGGAGAAACGGCCAGTGGAGACGGGAAGAAAACAAAATTATTTCTCACCTCAGAGGCTTCATTTTCAAATTCATCGACTCTTGCCGGGGTAGAGTTATATGCCTGAGCATAATGCTGATACCACTGCTGAACAGCCTCCTATAAAGGAGGAAAAAACCTCGTCCCATCAGCTGTCTCCTGAGATCACTTGAAATGAAAATCCTCGAGGGACATGAGAACGAACAAAAGGCAAAGCTCTCCGAGAAGCATCAAAACACGTTTAGCACCAGTGATAAAGTTCAAAGCAGACGTTTAAAACACGTTAAGTGCTTAAGACATGGACAAGGCACCACTGCCTTGGCAGTGGATGAAAGCACAATGTAATTTTTGTTACGTGGAAGGAACAGACGGTACAAATAGAGCTGAGTGATGACGTGGGCATCTCTGCACCCAAGTGACATCATCCGAGTCCTTCACGTTACTGAAGATAATACCAATAACACTAATGCTACAATACTACTCATGTTTTTTGACAGTATTCTAAGGATTTGGGGTTAGGAACTACCTCCAGCAGACATCAAAATGCCTTTACAGCCAATAATCAGATTCCAACAAAATATTCAAGACTGCGTTAGTGCTCACACGAATCAGACAGCACAGCAGCCCACAGCACATCCCTCTCGCTTCTCTAACCCTGGTCTGGTCACCTGGTCACCAGGTCTGGTCCAACTGGGAGATGGGTCTGGCAAAGCTGCTGCTGCAGCGAACACCGGGCAGCGACCCTGGCCCATCCACCCCTCCCGGCCAGGATGAGACCCACCTAACACCACCCAGCCCCGTGGCCACTCGCTCTCTGGCCCCCAGACCCAACCGACTCCTGCAGCAGCCCTGCTCGACCCCAGGAGTTTTGGAGCAACGCGGATTTCCTTGCCAGCAGCCCAGGAGAAGAGCAGACAGCTTGGTTCCGTCTCCCTGCTGCAGGATGAGAGATCGGGCGACTCTGGGGAGGAGGAGGCGACGGGGACAGGGCGGGAGAGAGGGAGACCCACGGCAGAGCCAGGGTGGGTGTCCCAGCACAGACCCAACATGTTTGTACAGATTACCTGACAGCACTACAATCCAGTTCTCGTATTTGATTTGGACACAATTATATTTCTACACAGACTAGCGATGGCTACTGAAAATAAGAAAATATTGTTTCACAGAACGTCCCAATGTCTGAAACTCAGTACGACACCAAAACACTGTCCAGACGAAGGGCAGCCCTCCACCTTAACGGCCATGCTCTGATCACCAAATGGGCACGTGGGGAAGAAATCCCAGGCAGCGAAAACAGCCGGCAGAGACTGCAGCAGTTCCCCAACTACATGGGAGCTTTGGGCAGACAGAACACGTCTCCTCTGGGATCTAGCCAAGGTTCAAGAAAACTTTAAAACTTTTTGGGAAGGAAAAGAGAAAAACTTCATGAAGACAGACAAAAGCCAAGAAGTTACAAGAAGTGATTTTTCAGCTGACTGCACTGAATTGAGGTTCTCAAGAAGCAATCTTTCAACGGTTACGATACTGCAGCGGGGAATATACTGAGGCTTTTTTTTGACAGGCATCAGGTGTACCTTGTGCTAAATCTATTCGGTACACTGAAAGAGATAAACTGGCAGCAAAGAGGACCTGCAAGGTTCAGTGTGAAGAAGAGGGTGGGCTTTAGTTGCAGGAAAGCCTAGGAACCGCTGAAGATGTTCGTGATGTTGGGCAATGCTGTTCGACCGCATGCAGGGCTGTCAGACCACGTGTACCAAGAAGTGGATTAAGAGTACACAGAGAAAAACAACAAGCATCTCGGGGAGGGGGGATGTCCCAGCAGATCTCTGCCAAAACCCCTGCTACCAGAGCTCCGAGTGACAGACCAGGCTTCCGAAGAAAGCGCTGCAAAACAACGTACCTGTGGGTATTCCCCGGGCTGCTGAGAGTAATTAAAATAATTTTCCATCGCAGGTTGTGATGCAGTTCCCTGAGACACAGCAGCATCCACGACGTTGTTCGAAAGTCCGGCCTGCTGCGCTGGACTAGAGGCTTTGCTGGCAATTGCTGTTCGTAACACAAAGAAAGCACAGTGTGTATAAACTGCACAAATTAGCTTGCAGTCTTGTTTAGCACTATGCTGGCATTAAAATGGAAATTTGCTACTTCAGATTAGGCTGTGCTCAAAATTAATCAGTGCTACTACTAATCGAAAGGCTTTCTACAAGTTTGTCTACATCAGTAAGCCCATCAACTCTGAAAATTTACCCTTCCCAAACAAAATATTTAACTATGAGGATAGACTACGTCGCAATTTTAAGACAGACTACAAGATTTCCTGAAAGATCACTCTGGGCAAGGAAACCTGCAACTCAGACTGCTAAACGCTTGCTTACCTGGAAGACATAAACCAGGCAACACGCTTGCCAAATTCAGGTAGGGGTTAGTACTAAGGCGTATTTCTTTCGGTGGTTCTCCTAGCAGCGAAGTCTGTTTTTTCAAGGGAGTCTGTGAAACAATTGGACAGGTCCAGTTTGCATAATATTCATACAGCATTTGTCAGAAATCAGGTAAGTGTCCCAGCAGGAGTCTGAAAAAAAATAGCTTTGCCCTACGAAATGTAACAGGAAAACTTTTAAAATAAATAGTGGGGGCAACTATCTGGACACACTGCCTGTACTTTTTTCTTGCCAAATAATTTTGTAGGAATGTTTCTCTTCAGACTGTAAGTTACTAAAGGCTATTAAAAAACAAAGAAAGAAAACTTTTTACATTTAAGTAAAGGAATAATAACCACCGTGACGACTCCAGATGCAGGGAGTCAGCATTAAGTACACGGCCAAGACGAAATCAACTCTTTTCACCCAGAGCCACCAGCAAATGAAGGAGAAACGAACCCTGCCCTGGAGAGATGACGCTGCCTGCAGTCTGCCACTACAACACATCTTACTGATCCCTCCATTTATAAGCCTGTACTTAAAAGGGGAAAATGTTTGAGTGGAAGTGGCGAGACCGACTCACTCCTCCAAACCACCCGAAGGCTCTCCGGTGAGGGACGAGCAAGCGTTCACTACCAGCTCGTTTCCCTTTAGCTTATGTTGGCACAAATGCAAATCAGGATGAAGTAGCTACAGCAAGTCTGAAATGCATAGCTCAAAGACATTTGTTTATACAGTATTCTACTCTATATCTATTCTGTCCATTTCTTCAAAGCCCATTAAGGAAAAAATCCATTATTTTAATGGATTAATACTATTTTCAGTAAATTAGTATTAATCAACAACTTCTCAAAAACAGCGCAACCAGTTTTTAAAGACAAAAAGCCTCAAAAGACTGCTGAAATTCTTCATCTGGACGCAAAAGCCGGCATTTAAGACACCATGACCGTTCAGTATCAGCATACAGCCTGTGGCTCTCTTGTCAAGGAAGGGATTTTTGCAAACTGGGCCTTCTGTCTACTGATGCAGAATAGGAAACAACTAAAACACCTACCAGGATTTCAAAAGAGAACTTTTCCTGATAAATAATATTCATAGAAATAAATTAATTATCTAGACTTCTAATGATTTAATTACATTTCCTTTTAACTAGATGCAATGCTGAAATAAACCACTCATTTTATATATGTATACACATACAACCTATGTATTTTATCCATGTGTATCTATACGTAGGTAAAATTCCACTTCATTACAGTAAAAAATGATTTTAAAAATGCAAAGTGTACTTTCTGAAGTAGGACCGAATCTGTCAAAGCTGTCTAGCCAAGGCAGACACCAATACTGCATACAATCTAATCACGTCAGATGCTTCAGGAAGTGTGTCGGGAAAACACAGCTCTGATCTGAACTAAGAACATGTTTCCCCATAAATGTCAAAGTATTTATGTACATTATTAAAAATAAAGTAAATTCCGTTAATGACAGGAAAAAGCTTCTGAACAAAACAGACCATTCTGGTTCAACTTAAATCCCATCCCATCAGCTTCCTACCCCCCGCCTTCAAGGGAATAAATATTAAAACTGATGTAGACTAAGAATATGACCGCTATGGCTAAGAGGGTACAGATTGAAAGTGGAAAATTTACATACACACATAAATATACACAACTCCTGGAAACCCAAAGGCCCTGCATACCACCAGAACTGCTCCTGCTTAGTCATGAAATTCAACTGCAAGTTCAATTTTCAGTCTTTAAAAGGGACACTGCCCTTCAGATAATTTCATCATCAAATACTATGAGGCATACACATGGGAAAAAAACCCTCCAGCATTGTGAAAGGATTCCTTTGTTAATTCATTTGGACCACCAAAGAGCGTTATTGTTCTCTCCCTATTATTCATAGCTGAAATGACCTTAAAACATCTCATGAATGATCCTGTGATCTAGCAAATTTTCTAGCGAAGAACTACAGTAAGCAGTTGCAGTTAACTCTTAAGCATGTTAAAATAAAAGAGAAAATCTACACACAAGAAAAAGGAAAATATTGTCCAACGTTCCTTACCCCTACACTTGTATCAGCACTTTTTAGCTGATTTTGTTGTTTGGCATGTCCAGCCCGCAAAGCTCCCGCGGGAAGATTCGTTAAGGTCTGATGATAAGGCTGTGATCCCGAGACAACCGCTTCGGTAGTCGATTGTTTATCTGGAGCGTTATTTTGCCCTGGTATAGTTTGTCCAACAATGTGCTGATGCGGAAAGAATGGCAGCATGCCCACCCCTGCTGCTGCTGCTGCTGCTGTTTGAATTGGAGTCAGATTAGATGCTGCAGTCAACCATAAATGGAGAAACTTTTCTGTTAGACAAGATTTATCAGTACGTTTTGTTTGTGGTTTTTACTAAGTGATGAGAAAAACATTTAGACATCTATTTTACAGCTGTCCCGGAAGACTGGATTCTGACAGTAGTTTTTATTCTTTTACCATCTCAGGAGCAAACAACTCTATTTAAAGCTAATACAATAGAAGAAAACTCTGACTCTTCTCAACGTTCACCAAGATAATAAGTTACTTTGCATTTCCTTTCTCCTTCAAAAGAAAAAAACCTGTGAACATGATCCTAGAGGATCCTGTATTGGAATAGAGGGCGGAAAAAACCCCCACCACAACTGGCATTAGTAAAATTCTTTTTACAAAAGAGCTAAAAAGCATTCTTCAAAATTAAACTCTAGCCATTCAGAATTAAGTGTCTTCCATTTCTCGCCCCCTGCAAGCTTTTCCTTGCTCCAGGTTACTGTCATCACCCAGACTGTGTCTAGAACAGCAGAATACATGGCTCTCAGTGGAGGAAACAAAAAATATGCACTAAGCAGTATCACAAATTATCTTTCCTCATAAAAATTGAGGACATCACCGGTGCAAAAATTTGCATTCAAAATTGACATCCGTCAGAGACTGGATGTTAAAAGTCTATTGCTTAATGAAATGAATGCAAAAAAACCTACTTGCAGCGTCTCTTTCAGCTACTCAGATTTATCTGCTTTGAAACAACAAACCCCCACATTTTGGTCCTGAATAAAAACATATTCCGAGTGCACTAAAAACGGTGGTAACTGAGCAAGCAGAATATTTAACAGCCTGCAAATATTCAACCAATGTCACAGTGTGCTCTTCCTTCCCTGACAAACAGACGAGCGAAGCCAGGCAACAAGGCAGGATACTTCCAGTTTGCTTCCTGCTTAAACCAGCAGGTTGTGGCTGGTTATACAGATACATAACCTGTTACCCTGCTTAACTATACAGCTATATAACGTGCATCATTGTCCAGCCCTCTGCCTACCTTACTGTGCAGTGGTAAGGTTCAAACGTGTTACTGCTTTTGCTACAGTGGGAGAAAGTAAGGTGCGGAATTTCAAGCTGAGCATTTCTACTGATTTGGTACGAAATAAAATGTAATTTACACTTAAGAGCTTCTCCGCGGGTTCCCATGCCTGAACTCACTGATGGCATTACCCCTATTCCCAGTACTGTCTGAAGTAGCATTGTTGGAGGTTCTCCCAGCAAACCCGGTTTCTATAAGGAAGAATAGAAAACTGTGTAAATGATTAAAATAATCTGTCTGTAGCTAGTTCTTATAACTTTCACATTCAGTTAATCTTTTTAGATACATAAAACTGTTAAATTATACCAGATGAAGAAAAACATTTGTTTTCGCAGTTATAAGAATGTCCAGAGACAGTCGAAGTTGAAGTGACAGCCTTACACTGTTAGCCTGGATGTTTTCAATCTTCATCAGCTGCTGCTGTGGCAACGGTAGGTGAGCAGGGCTCTGCAGCACCAAGTTAGATGCGCTCCCCAGAAGGGAACTCTGTGAAATTAATAAAAGAAGTGTTAGTTGACAGTCACGGAAAACAGTACCTTCTTGAAACATTTTTCAGGTGATACTGCTAAAAAAAAAATTAATTTGTGAGTTAATGCAGCAAAGGCAAATAACTATTTCGTCCACAGAACTAAGATTTTGCTTCATTCACAGAAAGTTATTTCAAGTTCTTTTAACCTCTCTTCCTCCTAGCCCTTTTTTTCCAACTCACAACCACAAGTATGCTTTCTGATGGCTTTTAAAGGATCAAGAGTATGCTCCAAATACAATCCAGACTTCACTGCAGCCCCTGTGTCTAAGGCAGCAGGGAAAGCCAAATGTGTCCGAAGTCTCTGCAGACAGACTAGACGGGAGATTTACCTACAGTGCCAATAAGAAAGACGAGACACCAGGACTTTGGGGGATCACAAGCTGTACGAATAAGGACTTCATTGTTTGTTAACATTTGCATTGTGCCTTGCATTGCAATTCTACTACATAATCCCTGCCAAATATCTGGTGGGACTGTCACCCCTTGCTTTACAGCTGCTAAACGGTATCTTTACTTCCAAAGAGCAATATCCAGATATGTTCCCTGCCCACCCCCCCCCCCCCTTCTTTAGTGGCAGCTATCTCCATGAAATTCTATTCCAGAACCGTTAAAAAGCTGACAATCTGTAGGCACTGCCGTTTGCAAAGTCTATAAAATATTAACATTTTTCATTTGAAAATCCTGGATCAGTTTCCCACCAGAATTAAGCCACTCAATCAACAACTTTGGGGCACGACATTCAGACTCTGCTACTGGTATATTCAGCAGTTTGTGCTCTGGCTAGCACAGTGGCTTAAAAGAAACCTTATGCTCACTCAGGATCACAAAACCACATCATGATTCATGCTGGCTGAACGCAGGCTTGAAACTGTCATTCTGGTAGCAGCTCCTGAGCATGATTTGCCAGGCAAAATATAGGCTGCTCGACAAATCCTGTTGTACTGCGCTGCAGGAATAGATATATGGGACACTGACAGTGTCAAATCACGACAAGTATACCCTTCCTCATTTTTCTGGCATCTCCTACATAGGAAAGATCACCAAAACCAGGTAATGAAGATGGAACCCCAAAAGAAGGCAGCTCTCCTGATGCATGGCTTTGCAGATTTCGCAGCCTCCTGTAAAACATCTCACAAATATTTTCAAGCCTAGGTTGTATCTGTGAGTCGTAGGGTCAAACTCCCTAGGAAAAAGCCTCTGTGCCCACAATATGTTCTTCTGGACTCAGAAATGTGTCATATAAAAGAAAAAAGGGCCATGTCTAGATTAGTTATGCATCTGCTATTTTAATTGTCTTAGTGATTTCCAGTAGAAGTTATCCAGGGCTGTTTACTGTCACCAATACCAGCGGCTGTTCCTTCTAAACTTGGTTAAGTCAAAGGAAACGTGTTAGTTCAATTGCAAAACTTTCAGAAATACAAGAGTGGGAAATCAGGATAGTTAGAACCCTCAAAAGAAAGCTGCTGGGTTAATAAAGATTTACTAAACTGCTGGATGACTCAGGAAAGCACACCACTGAGAAAGCTTAAAGCACGTTATTTTGGCACATGATAACTGTAACTAAGAGAAATGAAAAGAAAGAATCTGAAAGTCATGCTACCTCCACAGTTGAAAGATTACTGGATGAATAACCCATTTGTTCACATTCCCCTCTGCTGACTCTTTTATTATCAATTATTTTATAATGTTGTGGCATAATCATCCTAAAAATACTGTTTCTTCTCATTATATTACTTTTCAAAGCCTTGAATATAAAACAGCAAAACCAAGATCCACAGGAAGATGAATCCGTGTGTGCCTGGGGAGGTGGGGAGAGAGTCGAGCCAAGACACTGTCTGTTCCTCTGTCTTGTGACAATACTGAATTTCAAGACAATAAGAACAGTGGCCTCGTTCTCTGGCTTTAGAGAATACTCTGAAATAAGTCACTGAATAACAGAAAAATGTGCCTAATAGAAGGAACTGGGATAATCAAATCACTGTCAATAAAATTCAGGCTATTAGACCAGGTTTGGAGCTAATTAAATGACAGGAAGCTCCCTGGAAGAGAGTTAGACTTGCGAGTCTCTCTAAAGAGAAAACACTAAGTTGTTTGACTGCAGCCCTCTTCAGCCAAAAACCATTGGATCCCCATCAATCACCCTGTTAACTGTGTAAAACACGCCTGTCTCCAGCTGCGATGAGACAACAGTCGCATTGCCTTCCAAGGAAGCGCAGACTCTCCCAGGCTGAAGAGAGAGCAGCAGTGACTAAACACACCAACCAAAAATGTCATTTAAATAAAAGCAGTGCAAGCAAAGAATGATGTCTTTTTTCATTGTACGAGACAAAAGTAACTCATTTCATGGGGCAAAATTAAGCAGTATTTATTCAAAATGGATATATTCACCTACCAGTTTTTAGCAGAAAAAAACCCCAAGAAAAGCTAAATATACTTAACATCAAGAGTATCTCTGCATTTTAATTGGGTCTTTTTTAAGGTCTCTAAGTCTGTGTTTGCCAGAAGAACAGCAGAAATAACAACTAATACTTCAGGGGATTTTATTTTTTAAATGGGAATTTCCAAAACATCAGAAGTAAGTCGAAGTGACTGACTCCAGTGCCTCATAGGTACTTGTGAAAATCCCTGCCATGAATACTGAAGGCAAATTTTGGCTCCTGGCAGAGCTGGAGAAATCTCAGGCAGAGCCTCAGTGCAAGGCGGAGGCCGGGCAGGCTGCTGGCCATGCACACTGCTGCAGGGAGGAGTTCCGACAGCAGGAGCTACCCCAGCATATTCTCATCTCCAATTTCGAGGGCAAACGCAGCCCAAATATTTTTTGTAGTATCTTTCAGAAATTCTGGTGCCCATCTGGAATTACAGATACTCTGAGAATACTTTAAACAGCTTTTAACCTTGGAGTTTTTTTGGCTGAGAAGTAACATCTGCAAATCACTATTTTTTACGGTATGTACAGCGCATTTTGGTTCCTGCAAGCTTTAAAATGAAGATAATAATGCTAAGCTTGTTGGCTTGAATAAGATAAAAGAAGTCTCTACAGGAAGTGTGTATGAGCAGCTCCAAGAGAAACGGATGTGGAGTGGGGAAGAGGATTTATTTTTGCCAGTAATGGCACGTTGTCTCTGCATCAGCAGGTGTTAGCAAATCAAAAGCTCAGTAAAGATAAAATAACTCAGTTCTGGAGAGTAAGCACAGTCTGCTCTTACACCTCCACAGGCATCTCATAATAAAGTGCTTTTCTTAAAGATACCTTTAACGAGAACACTTGTTTTTAGTTGTAATTTCTTGAAACTTTGAGAATATTTTTCATGTTAAGATATCCATAAAGATGTATTTTGACAAAAGTTCTGTTGTCACATACCTGATGAATTTTGTTCAGCTGTAAAAAAGACGGGCCAACTGCTGAATTTACAAGGTGAGGTAAACCTGCAGATGCTCCAAGAACTGTTTTAGAAACACAAGACAAAATTGCAGTGTTTTATAAGTTAGGCAAGTGAAGACCTCTGCAAGAGTTATTCTATATTTTTCAGAGTTGGTTTCCACAAAATTTTGCAGTATACGAAAGGTCACTATAATGAACCCTTTCAATACACCCAGCTTTGCTCTGCAATTAACAGCGTATGAGAGATCAAATGTCCTTTCATGGAGCTCCTCGAAAGCTGAGTTTTGCTCAAAGATGCAGAAATGCCTGCAGCTGACTGCAGGGCCACAGCATTATCTAAAGTGCTTTGAAACTTCCGCATTAGCTGAAGTGTTTCTGCACTGAAGTGGTCACTTCACACATGATTTCTGTGTATCTTCTCTCAGGAGACTGTGTCACAAACTCTTAGCTGTCCCTCCCCAACTCTTCAAATTATCTGTTCCTGTTCCTGGTCCTAATACTTTCACCATTCAAAATGTGACAATATTGTTTTTAATATGTTTATCCACATCCATCCTACTGAGAAGGCGGAGAAAAGCTTTGGCTAATGCCGTTATGAAATGCTGCGTATGACTACGGTAGCATCCAACTGAGTAAAGATTTACATTGGAAACAGCAGGACAAAGACTCAGGCTGCAAAATTCAGATCTAGAATCAGACTGAAACTTGCAATTTTAACGATGTCTGCAAAAGACATTTCATTTTAAACCTATTTCTAACATAAACATTCCGAGACCACTGAGTTAATGTGAGGACATTTTTAGGTAATATGGAGTTTTACCCAGACACAGCACTGAAGCAAACCATTTCTGGCTTTCGCTTTCATAGAATGTGAGTCTAGACAGACACACTGAAACCGTGCCTGTACAGATTATAAAATAGTATGGCTATGCTCCTGTCCTTCACAGAAAGCCTCATATCACCAAGAACAGCATTTGTTTTTTTTTTAAACTCAGTTTTAAAACAACTTACCAGGTTTAACAGCATGTCCACGCAACTGCGGCTGCAGCAGCATTTGCAACATTGCTGGATTATTAAAACTTTTCATAATCTGCACTGGATTTGGCTCTGGAAGCAAGCCTTTCCTATTGTTCCTCATCTCCAGTTAAGAGAGAGACAAAAATGTTAGAATCAGGAGAAGACAAAGAATATATTTAAATTCTTCAAACTTATGTGACTGCAAGGTACATATTTCATTTTACACAGAAAATAATCCCAACATGTCTTTCCCTGTTTCCTGCTCCTTTCCATGCTCCTTCTCCCTCAGATGAAATACCTAACTAACTATTCCCCCAAAACTTCAAGCCTATTATTTTTTCTGAGACACAGTGCTTTTTTTCCCCTTAAACCAAGTCAGAGTTACCAATAAAGGAGAACATGAAAGGCACTGTTAACATGAACACCACACACTATCTTCTAACCACACCACTCATCTCTCTTACAAAGATGAGGGCTAAAGCCAGCTGAAGTAATGAGACTGTTCTGCTTCTACTCGTAAGACAGCTTCACGTAACACTGATCACATCCAATTTTCTCGGAAATAATTTGATCAGACATGTGGGTGTAGAAAGCTTTCTTCTATATCAAGCATGAAATTCTCCTACCTTGAAATTTATCTTAAAATTGGCAAATTCTTGCCTCTCTGTTTTAAACCAAGTTTTAGCTTGTCAGATGACTCCACTTACTTTTGTTTTGAAGTGGAACAACGTATCATAAAGAAAATTAAATTTACCAAAATCTCAGAGCTACCCAAGTATAACTTTCTGATATCTTATGGCCGTATTTTACCCCTCCTCCTTGCAGAATATGGCCATGCCTTTCTTAGGAAGGAGACTGAACTGGGCTGACCAGATTAAAAAATAGTCGAATGCTTCTAAGAGCTTGGCTTGTTTTCCTAACGCAAAGCAGCTGAAGCCCTCCAACCCAATTCAGGCCACTCCAGGTGTACCAAACTCCTTCTGAAAACAGATTTGCAAACATCTTACCATCCTTTGCGCTGCTATAAGTGCTGCTAACGTGCTTCTGCCTGGCGCTCCCGGAGCACAGTAGGACACCTGGACTCTCTTCCCTTTGACAGTCATGCCATCGGTGACCTCTTGCACTTCCTCAGCCTGCTCTGCAGTCTCGTACTCAACCACCGCAAAGTCACCGATACAGCTGTCTTCATCCTGAGCAAACTGAAACAACATTTCACAACACGCTGAACAAACTGGAGAATTTCAGGGATTGCCTCGCAGTATTTTCACCTATCCCTTGCAAAGTACTTGGCAAACAGCTGACACCCTACGTTAATGCCTACGCAAACCAGTGTGTTTCTTTCTCAAACACACTAGATACAAGTTGAATATCATATCTTCGTATGGTATTTGACATGCATAGTCTATTTACTTGAATTACCACCTTCACTTCAATCTAATCTCCTGGAGAACCTGAGCTATGGGATGTATTTAACACATACTTTCAGAACGAAGCAGGAAGGAGAAGGAAATTGTAAATACAGCTGTATGCCACAATAATTATTTGGCAGGGTAAGATTTTTGAACTCATTATTGTTCAGTTGTTAAGACTATAATAATAAAAGTGTCATTCATCAGACGGCATGATAGCTGTTGAAACACACAACAATGCAAACTCCATTGATATATGCTGCCTTTTAGGAGAAGACAAAGTCAGTTGTTGTATTTAATGCCAAGAGAAGATGCCGGACTGATCAATCAAGCAGACTGGAAACAGGCTTGTGTGTCAAACAATGCTCTGCCCTTTGTTTGCAGAGTTTTATAGCAGAATGAGCAGATCTAAATCAAACAAAAAAAGGGGGTGAGAAGGGAGGGAAAGAAGCTTAGGCAAAAATCTCCAGTCCCAAAATGAACAGAAATGATATACTAGCTCTGATGTGGAAGAGGGGAAATCTCCTCTAGATTTTACTGGATAAAAACAACCTATTCCCAACTATAAGGTCCCACAAACTTGCACTAACAGATGAAATATAAATGTCAAAGATTTTTAAGAAAAAGAGAGTGGTCAGTTCTTTAATGCCACTGTTAAAGACTGGCCTCTGGGAACAGCTCTGGAGAGCACACAGCACACATTTTGATATATACATACACACATAGATATGTATATATCTATGTTATGCATGTGTCTGCGTGCGTGTGTGTGAAGAAGCATTATATTTTATTTTAACATCTGTTTAGCTGCACTGGTAAAGACCTGGAGTACTTGTGAAAAGAACAGTTTGCAGCTATGGAACGTACTGAAGTTTCACACAAGTTAAAAACTCCCGTAACATGTGGAAGTGCAGCTATCAGTATTCTTGCAAACAGGAATTTTTAAACTTCCCAAGTAAGCAGGTACTGAGGGAGAGGCCCTCTGTCTCTGTCTAGCTAACAGTGGAGACCTCTTAGTGACAATTTAAAGCTGACATGAGAAAGGACCGAGGTTTTCTGGTCCATTTTGTTGAAGCAAAGGACAAAACATGTTCCTGTGAGTCTGAGGAAATGCCATTTTTCTAAGACCCATGTGTAAGTATCTGGCTTCAGCTTTTCCTGACGGAACATTTCTATTGTTAATAGAGAAGAAACAAAATTTATTTCAAAAAATGCTAACTTTGGAATAATACGAAATAAACTAGAGCTTATTTCATTAGTTCAGCTAAGAATTTGAGGTAGAAGATCATATTTACATGATGAAATACTGCATCTGAGTTACGAGCAGAACTAAGACATGAAAGCAGCATCAGACAGCTACGTTAAAGAAGCCATACCAGGAGGTGGGCGAAATGGTCAAAGTGACCCTACCGGAGGGACAATCTGCATGCACGAGTGGTGTGAAGGCTGGACTGGCCAAGACTCGGAAGGAAGAACGACTGGAGCCATAAAGACGTAAAATAACAAGAGCGTGAATGAACATTTTAATTGTTTCTCTGAAATGTATTCATTCTTCCAGGAGTTTTCCAGCCAAGGCGCTCCTCCTAGTCATTCTCTATTGAAATTCCCTCCCCACCCAGGTTTCTGCTACCCTTTTCTCTCTGAGTTTTCCTCTTCCGTCTCTATCTACCCTGTCACCCCACACTTTTTCCACAGCTCCTTATGTCTTCCTCCCTCTCCTTTCTTTGTACTTATTTTTTAGGTCATCTCACTCATAAACCCATCATTAATTAGCACTAGTGTGATGAGAATTCATCCACCATCTTCCCTTTGGCACCCATCAAATTTGAACTATTTGTTTACCTACCTCCACCCTCCTGCTGCTTCCCCCGACAGCCCCCGGGGCTCGCCTCCAGCACTCACCCACCCACCACGTCCACAAACCAGCACCTCTGCTGCCTCCCCCCGCCAGCCCTCGAGGCAGAGCCTCCCTCACCAGTCAGTACCAGTTGGATGCCTGGTGGGAACAGGAGGCATGACTGAGAATAAATCACACGTTTATTCTCTGAGAATCACTGAGAATAAATCATAAGTTATCATACGTAAACCTATTTTTCTTCTGTTATCATACTTCCACCATCTACCTATTAGTCTATTACACAGTGTGTTTACACAAGTGATAGGCAATATGAGAACATGCCAAGAACGTTTTCTCAGATATATTTTTGACTGGGTGCCTAATTCCTAATTCAACAGCACACTGTTTAATTCCTGTATTTTACAGAAACATGTATTTAGTGCCATTTACTGATATAACACATACACAAACATACTCTCCCCACCTACACCAGGTGTGACCCACGTATCATTACGATTTAAGAAGTCAGAAGTCAAATTTTAAGCGCCTCTAACTGCACAGTAGAATACTGTTAGTGAAATCCATCTGTATGAAAGCAGCCTGTTATTCTTGGAACTTTAGAATTTTTAAAGGATATTGAAAAAACGTTGGGGGAGCTGGTAACAGCCTCCAGATTATCTGACAGCTGGAAAATAGCCCTGAAGTAAAAGACTTTAAAAAAAAAAATCAATCTGTTTATCTAATTAAACAAAAGATTGAGCAAGTGACTTGATTACAGCATTTAATACCTTCTACAGGAAGAAAATGGTGTGGAGCAAAGGCTCCTCAACCTAGTCATCAGTGAGGCGAAGCTGAAGCCAGATACATTGAACGGAGAAAACAGACACAAGTGCAAAATAACAAGGGACAGGCAGTTTCTGGAAAGAGTCACTTTCAATTTGTGCATCTCCTGGCGTATTTGGATCAAGCAAGTAGAAGGATGTGCTTTAGCCAACTACAAATTACTGGGGCTCGAAAAGAGCGCTAGGGAAAATGTGATGGCCTGCAGGTGGTCAGACTAGACAGCCTGATGGACCTTCTGGTCTTAGATGCTGAGAATCTCTGGTTATTTATCCCTGAAGCTAATCCCAGCGCAGCCTTCAGAGATACTTCAGAAAAAAAAAATCCAAACAGATCAAGTTGTACTCAACCGTGTGACTAGAAAGCAAGCTTTCTTTCTACTGCCTGTTTATGGTACACCGGTCTGCATCACTTCTACGAGCAACTTTTTACTTGTGGTCTCGGATCTCACAAGCCATGACAACAGAAGGAAACCTTTACACTTGGCAAAGGCTAGTAAGGATCCACCTCTTCTGTACTTGCAAGCCTTCCAAAAGATGTATCACTTCTATCACTGGCAAGCCCAGCCGACTGTGAGATCCCAAGCCTACAAGTACAGAGCTACTTAAATCATGACCATGACCTTCCAAAAGATACAAATCCAACATACCTGGCAGAAAACAGGTTTATACTTCAGTGAGAAAGCTTGGATCAGCTCTTTCGAATCAGCGTCGTCTTTTTGCAATTTATCTACACGAAGGCACTTGGAGTGAATAAGATTTACTGTCAGCTGGTTCACATCCATCCACTGTGCAAAGAGAGTGCTCTCATCTAACTGTTTCCCCAGAAGCTCCAGTCTTGCCTTCGCAGCGGAGTCCTTCTTCATATATTCCACAAAGCCATAGCCCTTTGAATGGCCCGTAACTTCGTTATAGACCAAAAAACACCTCTCGACGTTGCCATATGCACGCACAAGTTCTTCAAACTCTTCTAATGTAAATGAAATCGGCAGATTAGTAATGCACAGCAAAGCATCTGTTGGTTGGAGTTGCACGGATATTTCTCTTCCCCGAAGAGAATACTGGTGAAATTTCCGAATCGCGTTTTGAGCCTGCTCTCCATTTAACAGAGTAACGAACGCTGTAAGAGACCAAAACAAATTACATCACCTAGCACAGCTTCTCTCCAGCTACAGAGGTCATTACTATAGCTCTCCCTCCCCCTAAAACCCCTCAGTGTAAGTCACAAGAAAAATAAGAGCTTGGAAGTTACCCTGAAGATGCGACAGAGAGAGATATGCTGTAGTACACATTTTAAAGTCTGGAATTATCAACTGGATGTCATGAGTAATTAACTTAAAGAGTGACTGTAGAAACACAGATACACACAACCTTACTACTTGTAACAACAAAATTTTACATTTGGGAAACTAAAAGCAATTAAATTTTCTCCTGAGGTCATCACATTATTGATTCTACTGAACTTCTCTGAAGACAGCAACCATAAATTCTCACTTTGGGGTTACTGGATCTTTTTTGGGTGTTCAGTCTGCAAAGCATTTCACACAACCTCAGAATCACAGACTGGATGAGGTTAGCGACTCTGGAGGTCACCCTGTGCAACGTCCTCCTCACGCAGGGCCACCCAGAGCTGGCTGTGCAGGACCATGTCCAGATGGGTTCTTAGTATCCCCAACGATGGAGACTCCACAGCCTTTCTGGGCAACCTGTAACAGTGCTTGGTGACCCTCACGGTGAACAAACGTTTCTTGACATTCGGACAGAAAATCCTGTGATTCAGTTGGCAGCTGTTCCCTCATGCCCTGTGCTTTAAAGAGGATGCAACACTCTACAGTGAACCAAGCAGATGAAAGTTAATTCATGTGTTTTCTTCCACAGAAAAACTGAAGGGCACAGCACAGGGCACTCCGGGGTAAAAACTTCAGTTCATTTCAGGGAAAGACAAACACAAATCTCAAGCTTCACGCAGAGATACCCTCAGCATTGCCAGCCACTCGTGGACGCAGCGCTGGGCACTGAGACGTGTCTTCAATGCCAAAGGTGTGAAAGATCATCTTCAGAAAATTGAGCTAGCATCTGTCTTCCAGAAGAGCCTTCAAAGCCACAAATCTCAGCAGCAAGGACCACCCCAAGCTTTAAAACAAGGCAGGGGGGACAACCTGCTGCTTTTCATTCTCTTCCAACCTTTGCTGAGCTGCTCTTCTTTACATTGGTCCTACCGCTACTGCATTTCCTTCCCCAGCACTACCAAGTCTTGTTTTCTGTTTCACTTTCTCCTTTATTTAGTTGGGTCTTCTCATCTGACCGCTGGAGAAGCGGTATGCCATGGATGCAGCACCAACTCCAGCCACCGCCCCTGGGGATGTCATGGCCATGTCACAGCCAGCAGACTGCTCGTGGGGGTCCACATCACATAGGAGTCGGTGACACGGATGGCCCCACATAGGTACAAAAAGGGCTGCGCCAGCCCACACTGGCAGACGAGGAGACAGGCGAGCCAAGAGTCAGAGGCTCTGCAACACCCACCATATCTGCACCCCATCACAATCCTACAGACAGCCAGAAGTTGTCCACACTTGTGGGCAAAAGGAGACCTGCACCACCCACCCTATCTGTACCCCATCCAGGTCCCACAGGCAGCTCAAAGGTGCCCACAACCGTGGACAAAAGGAGCATCACAACACCCACCACCTCACTACCATGTCATGGTCCCACAAGCAGGTGGAAGGAACACACAGCCATGGAGATATGGACCTCCAAAACACCCATTGTATCTGTAACCCATCCTCATCCTACAGACAGCCAGAAGTTGTCCACGCTCGTGGGCAAAGGGAGAGCACTGACTGTATCTGTACCCCATCCAGGTCCCACAGGCAGCTCAAAGGTGCCCACAGCCGTGGAGAATGGGAGCACTGCAACACCCACCATATCGGTATCCTTTCATCATCCTACAGACATGGTCCTACAAGAAGCTGGAAGGAACATGCAATTATGGAGAAGGGGACCTCTGTAACACCACCGGATCTGTACCCCATCACCCACCTACAGACAGTCAGAAGCTGCCTACAGTCATGGCAAAGGGACAGCCACACCACCCACCCTTTCTATAGTCCGTCCTGGTGCCACAGGCAGCCTGAAAGTGCCCACAGCCTTGGACAAAGGGAGTGTCGCAACACCCACCACCGCTCTACCATGTCATGGTCCCATACGCAGCTGAAGGAACACACAGCTACGGAAAATGGGACCTCTGCAACACCCACCTTATCTGTACCCTGTCACCATCACAGACAGCCCGCAGCGATGGGCAAAGGGAGAGTCGCACCACCTGCCATACCTGTACCCCATCCAGGTCCCACAGGGAACGCGAAGGAAAACACAGACGTGGACAAAGCGAGCGCTTCAACACCCACCGTATCAGCACCCCGTCAGCATCCTACAGCCAGCCAGAGGTGCCTACAGCCGTGAGAAAGGAACGCTGTACCACCCACTGGATCGACATCACCTCACCGTCCTAGAGCCAGCCACAAAGTGCTAACATTTTTCTTTCATGCGTTAATAAACATGTTACAACAGTCTAAATAAGGTTTTCTAATTAAAACATAAACGTCCACAAAGCATTTTAAAGCAAGTTCTGGTCTGTGACTATCTTGTAGCAGTTTATAAAGCAAACAAAAAGAAGCAAGTGTAATCTTAGTGACATACACGTAATATTTGAGATCTCAGTTCTGCTGTTCTAGTCAAACTGAATGTTGTTATGCATCCTGCAAGCAATTAGTTTGTACTAACATAAAGCAACACCTTTGCAGCAGGTTTACAAGCTGTCATAAACAAAGAGGCATATCAGTGATCAGATAAAGATGAGATGGCATGGAAATCAGCAAGCTCGTTCTCAGATAGATTAAAATGTGCCTGGGTAATCTACATTATTTTGCTCTTCAGTTTCTGACACATCATCACGTGTTTCTCTAACAGGATACTATTTGGTATTCTAGGAATAGTTACACAGAATGTAGGGATAGAACACAACAAAGTTTAAAAACACTGTTAGCTTTTTAAAGATATAAATCTGCTTTTCTTAATGCTTTGAGGTAATTTTGGGCTACTTCCCTGAGTTTATCATTAATCTTAAATTAGTTTGTTTAATCAAGAGACAACATTGTTTTACTCAGAAGAATTTTACAAGATCTAATCAGAAACATCTACAGAGCTCTACAAACTTCCAATTTATGTCCATTAAACTAAAAAGTCATTAAATCTATCTAGCAAAAAAAAAATAAAAACAAACAAACAAAACACCCCAAAACTCCTCAGTACAAATGGAGTTCCTTACACGAAGGCGTCGCAGTACAATATGTATGTCCATCTTTTGGGTGGATGACTGTTCTGTTGTGCCAGTACTTCTTTGGACAAGACAGAATAAACACTCATAAACACCCACAGACCACTAGCAGAACTGCTGCGTGTTGCACAGCAAAACTACTAACGCCAAAAATAATCTGCAATATAAAGAACATGAGTAGGAAGAGCTGAGAGGTTCAAGAACTTCGTTAATTGTACAGTGACTTGTTAAGATTCTGTGACATTAGGGCTTCCGAACACAGTTTTAGAGCCTTCATCGATCCGGAGATAAAGTAATTTAATCTATCCAAATGAGAAGCCCAGAAAAAACAAACAACCTACAGTGTATTCCAGCCATGAAAATTTGCAGAGGCACGTAGCAACACATGCAAAAATTCACTCCAGTAGGCAAAGTACTATACGTATCTACATATACACAGACACACGTATGTATACACTTTAAAAACAACACAGATACATACACAGCAAAAAAATAGTTACATATGAAAGCATCTGGATTAAATGAAAAAATTCATCCTTCTCTTACTCTTTCCAAGTATTTTCATATAGTTCCCACGATGAACACAGACGTTCACTCTGTTGTTAGACAGCAGACTATAGTACCTCACAAACTGGCCTTCTTCTATATTCAGAAATCAAATTTGCAAGAAAACGGGACAGCAAAGCACAAATTTTTGCTTCGTAGAGGCAAATATCAAGAAACACCATTATCCTCACAAAAATCTGACAGAAATCTATCACAGCTACCGCATTAAGATTTTGTCCTGAAAACCACGGGTGCCTGAGGAGATAGCCCAGGAGATAACCCATCCTCATGGGTGCCTGAGGAGATAACCCATCCTCACCATTATTCTCACAAAACCCTGACAGAAATCTATCACAGCTACTGCATTAAGATTTTGTCCTGAAAACCACGGGTGCCTGAGGAGATAGCCCAGGCTGTGGGACCTATGGTGATGCAGAAAGACGGGAACACGTAGAGAAGTATTTGTCCATTTCTGTACTTCACAAGAGCTAAAACCAGCTAAACCTCCTATTTAGAGAATTAATGTGTAAATGGAAGATCAGACTTAAATAATTCAGGATTTAATCAACATTTCCTTCAAAGACTTCAGTATTCCTTTAATAAATTGCTTCTGGCTTATATTACCTGATGCAAATGCATCTGAAGCGAGGCATGGTTTCCTCTAACATGTCATAGGCACATGTGGTTTGTCCTGTGAGAGGCCTCAGGACTAGTCTCTCAAAGGAATTCAGACAGTTGAGGCTAGCTTTGTCCCAAAGCGACACTCACTAAGGGAATACGCCTGAGAGATACCACAGCGGACAACCTACTTCTGGCTGACATCAGTAGGATTTCCAGCTCTCCATTGGCTTCAGCAGAAGGCGACAAACTATGCAGTCAAAAAAGGCATCAAGGGACAACCGAGCTATGTGATGGCAGAGAAGCTGATGACCTCATACATGGCAGATGATGTTCCTCACTAGTTTCATCACAGAATTAAAACGTATGACACCAGAAGATTTTAAGCTCTTACCTGTTCTTTTATTTCTGTCCACATAACAATACTTGATTTCATAATCTTTAAATAAGTCATGGATTTCCTGTAAGAGAAAAGTACAAGTAAGATGAGATAAATAACTCACCAGACCAAATAAGTGCACAAATA